TGGCACAGAGCATCATGGGGGAAGGGATTACAATGCCCTTCTCCTTTGTCTCTTGCTTTAGCTTCTTTGTGAAGTCTACAAACACTTTAGGCTGTTTGTTTGCCTGGGTCTCCCTTTGGTCCTACAGAACTATTTCTCCTGTGGAAGCAAGCCAAAAACTGATACTTGGGCTTAGGGAATCAGAATTGTCCATGTCCTCAATGATTGATGTATGACTGTTTATGAAGAACTATACTATAGTAACAATATAGGGGAACTCAGTGGTGGGGGGGGCATGAAAGGGGCTTGGGGAGGGGATAAGGGAAATCCCAGAGTTTATGAAACTGTATTATAAAATGATGATAATAATAAAAAAGAAGTAAAATCAAAACAGAGATAAAAAGGCAAAGTATGTTTTTGGAATTATTAAGCCTACAGATAAAGTCTGGTGAGTGAAAGTCGGACATTCATTCAAATGGTTGCTAGCATTACCGTGGAGGGGAAACACTGTAATTGGGAATTATCACACAAAGTTAGAAAGGGTAGAGAAGTTCTCCCATTGTCAGATTTTTAGTAAATTTGGCTTTCCTTGGCTTTATAAATGCATTCTATCTTTTAAAAGAAGACTTATTACTTTATTTTGAAAGAGTTAGAGAGAGAGAGAGAATGGGAAAGAGTTTTTCTATCCAGTGGATAGATACAATAGCCAGAGCTAGGCCAAACAGAAGCCAGTATCCAGGAACTTTATCAAGGTCTCCCACCTGGGTTCAGGAGCCCAAATGCCTGCACTATCTTCTATTGCTCCACTAGCAATGAGTGGGATTAGAAGTGGAGCAGCTGGACACAAGCCAGTACCCACAGAGGATGCCAGCATCTCAGGCAGAGGCTTTCTCCACTACACTACAGTGCCAGCCCCAGTGCCTTCCTACTCCTTGTCTACCTCCTTTCTTTCCTTTTTGTTTTTCCCATCTTTTCCTGCGAGGTGAGAATGATCCTTTAATGCCAGATTTTCCATCTTAACTACAAAGGCAATCTGTTTCTACCTTCCCTTCAGGAGTCCGAAATGATTCTGTTAGGCACTGGATCACCAGCATCCCAACATTATCTGCCAGAAGTGGAGAGATGAGAGTCAAAGTGGGATATGAACACATTTTGATCTTTCAAGGGATTAGAAGAATGTCAATAATGAATATATAACAAAATGAAAAGTGAGTGAGCAATGGTCGTTTTATTCTCTGGCCACAGAGAAGAGAAGTGTGAGGCTCTGGAGCTAGCCACCCAGTCTGAATTCCAGCTCTGCCTGTCACCAGGTTTTGACCTTGGTATGTTACTCTTGTCTCTCTGACTCCATTCTGCATCAGTAGAGTGAGGATAAAAATAGGGTGATTGTGAGCTAAAACGCAAAACAGACTTCACAGAGTGCCTGGTGCTATGGATTTGTCAGCTACCCTGATTTCTTCCTCGGCTTGTCATTTTCTGGGTTTGGGAGCTTGTGCAGAAGGAAAGGGTAATGTGAAAAAAAGTCATGTCCAACCACTGGCTGTCTCTTTGTGATTTATTGGAAATATTATAGCTCCAGCCATACCATTTTTAGATAGCATTAAGAGTTGGTTACAGGGTTGTTCAGGAAAGCAACTTCTTACTCATTTAATTATACATTTGTGTTTGCTCATTTATTGGTTAAATACCTGTTTGAGGAAGAAACTAGGTGTTTCTCGTCTATCTCTTTTGACTACCAATATGGTCTTGATCTTCTTGTCTCTTTATCTCATCTTTGCCAATAGCATTCATCTGAAATTATCAAGTATTTTTCTCCTGTCATAAACAGAAGGCCACCCCATTTGAAGGCCCTTGATTCAAATTTAAATTGATTATTTTCACCCCATGTCATTCGTTAACCAATCACCTATTGCCTGAAATGACCTGAACACTCTGATAGAATTTTACAACAGAAAAACATTTTGGGGATTATGGATTACACGGATACAAGTCCATGATTTTCTATTTTACTTTTGTATTTATACTGATTTCATTTTGGATATACTTTAATACACATTGAATTGAAATGCTTTCCCGTTTGTCATCTGAAAATTTCCATGGTGTATGAAGCACACACATGTTGCTATGCAGGTCCTGTGAAAATATTATGATACTCAATGGTCAAAATCCCTTGGGATTATCTCATTTGTATTGTATTGTTAAGATTATCAGGAAATAGGCCATAGTGGAACCCTAAGTGATCTTTCAAAAAATATTTATTTATTTGAAAGAGTTAGAGAGAGAAAGTGAGAGAGAAAAAGAGTGAGACAGAGAGAGCTAATTAGTTCATAAATGGCCACAATGACTGGGACCAAAGCCCGGAGCCTGCAACTCCATCTGGGTCTCCCATGTGGGGGCAGGGATCCAAGGACATGAACCATCTTCTACTGCTATCCCAGGCAAACGCACGGTGAGCTGGGATTGACATAATGCCCATATAAGGAAACAGTGTTCCAGATGGTGGCATAACCTACTATGCCACAATGTTGGTTTCCATTTAAAAATTTTTGTTTCAATCTTCCAACAATGAAACTTAATCTTTCTTCATAGAAATACATGCCTATATATTTGGCATAATTTTATAAACTCTTTAAAGATCACAACTGTCTTTAAAAAAGAAGCTAACTGAAAAAGGAAACAGCCCCTAATACTTCAAACTGTTTTTCTGTATTTTTATATTTTCTATATAGTAAGTTATTTTTATTAACAGAATAGAAGCTGTAAAAACTAATGCATACATCTACAAACAACTGATCATTGACAAACAGGCTAAAATTATTTCCCAGTGACAGCAAAGTCTCTTCAACAAATGGTAGTGCAAAACTGAATTTCCACATGCAAGAGTTTGAAACAAGATGCCTGCCTTCTGCCCTATACAAAAATCAGTTCAGAGTGGGCTAAGAATCTAAACTTCAGACCAGAAACCATCAAGTTATTAGAGGGAAACAGAAATCACTGCAAGCCATTGGTTTAAAACCAGCTTCTACATTACAAAGCAAAACACTTAGCAAAGTGAAGAGGAAACAACATGTGAGAAAATATCTGCCAACTGTGCCTTCAGTACAAGGTTAATATCCAGATTACAGAAGGAGCTCAAGGATCTCCAAGACAAAACAAGCTGTTCAGCTAAGACACAGGGAAAGGAAGCAAACAGGCCTTTTAAAAGGCTGAAATACAAACGAGAACTAGACACTTGGAAGAAACCACTCTGGATCACTAGCCATCAGGGAAATGAAAGTGAAAGGCACAATGAGGTATCATGTCACTCCGGTTAGAACGGTTATTATCCCCAAAATCAAAACATAACAGATGCTGGTGAGGTGTTGGAAACAAACATTTTCTAACAGATTGTTGGTAGAAATGCAAATTGGTAAATCATTATGGAAAACAGTAGAGAAATTCCCCAGAAAAGTAAAAATAGGTCTACCTTAGAACCTAGCTATCTCAAACCTGGGAATATATCCAACGGAAATGAAATCTGCAGATGAGAGAGATACCTGCACTCCTATATCTTATAATAGCTCAATTCACAACAGCAAAGACAATCAATCTGAATGTCCATCAACTGATCATTAAATAAAGAACATGTATGTATACACAATGGAATATTATTCAGTCATACAAGGAGTGAATTCCTGACATTTACAAGAAAACAGATAGAATTGGAGATGACTATGTAAATGAAAAAGTCAAACCCAGAAAGTCAAATATCACGTGTATTTGTGGAACTTAATATATACAACAAAAAATTATGTGTATGTCATATCATTGAATGTTTGGTATTTTTAAGCTGACTCAGTCCAGGCAAATGACAAAACACTCATTTTTTCCAAGTGTCACGACCACTGCCGTGAATCCCTCACCTTGTGATACTGATAGCTCTGTTTTCAAGGAAAATGCATATAATGTCTACATTAAAATTGAATATGACCAAATGTTCAAAGAATTATAAAATAAAATGTTAAACAAAGGGCAATACATTTTGTGTTCGAATTGCAATACCCACTTATTCTTTTAAGAATGCAACACATAACAAAGGTAGTACACGACAAACTCATAACCAACATCATGTAGAATTGGGAAAAACTGAAGCATTTCTACCCAAGATCTGAAAGCACATAAGGATGGTCACTCTAAACACTTTTATCCAATATAGTTCTGGAAGTTTCAGCTGGATCCACTGGGTAAGGAAAGGAAACTAAGGGGAAACAAATTGGAAAGGAAGAAGTCAAATTCTTCCTGCTGGCAGATGACATGACTCTTTAGCAGGAGACCAAAAGCCTCTATCATAAACTAACCTGCAAGCGGACTTTCTTAGAACCCCTGAAGTCCTGTGTCTATTATCTCACACTGAATGGTGGTTACTTCAGACTTTTGCTTCAATGCTGACACACATTTTAATACTTTTATGTGAATGACTGTCAAATAGAATAAGATACTTGGAGAGTGTTTCTGCTGGAAATGACGAGAAGATATCTCCAGCAGGAAAAAATTCTAATCTGCAGGGCTACTGTGGACAAGGGTTTAGGTTGTACTGTAAAAATGTCCATTGAATGTTCCTTTGCAACAGCCTGTTACACAGAGTCCAGACAGGCTCATACACAAGAATGAGTGCCCTGTGCCCTGTCTCAGTCCATCTGAGCATCACTAACAGTTTCTTCACTCACCTGTTCTCTGCTCCCAGAGGCCAGACCACCCCCTACCTGCTTCAGGCAGTATGGGGGAAAGAAACAAGAATAGCATTGTTGTAGGTGTGTTGATGTCAGTGGTGTAGACCAGAGTATGGCCACACAGAGCTGTTTGGTCTGCTGGCTCTGGAAAGAGCTGGACTTTTAAAGTTCCAACAGGTGTGACAATGGAGCCTCACAACAATACACACACGTGATTTTCTTTTTCTTCATAAGAACAGATACATTTTCTTTGGTTACTATTAAGATAATAGTTTCTTTGGCTAAGGCACCTAGAAGCACAGTAGAACTTACTGTTGGTGGTAAAGATGATGTCTCCATCCTGGGTGGTGGGGTCTGCATCCTGAACCACCTGCAGCGCACCCACAGTCCGGACAGCAGGATCTAAAGTGACTGAACTTTCATTCACTGTCGTGTCGCTTGCTCCTGTGATCTGATTGGTTGGTGGACCTCCCAAAGAGCCGTCGAAGTCTGTGGGCAAGTCATCCATGCAGTCGGCATTGGGCTGATGGGGGCAGAAGAAAATTGCTTCTTAATTCATGCCTTCAATTTAGAGATCAAAAGTCTTCAATCTAAGTATTTCATCTCAACCAAAAATGAGGTTGCTCACTGTTTCATAAGTTGATGTACTTTAATTTAATTTAAGCATTCTGCATATAGTTTCTGTAATATTAACAATGAAAAAAAAACCTTCAAATTTCCTTTCTGAAAGTTCCCTTTAGATTTAGGTATAACGTTTTAATTCCAGTAGAAGCAAAAATTTGTATATTTGAATGATAACTTAGGGGCAGTAAACGACATTTATCTATAATGTTAGCATTGCTTTATGCTTAGCATTTACTCCCTACATAGGAGAGAGCTGGCAGCTGGTAATTATCCTCAAAGACTCACACACTGTTTACAAATATACTAATGATATGAGAGTGGAGGGAGGACAGAATCTGACTCATTGTGTATTTTTGTTAAAGTTGCATGCACACACAAAAACACAAAAAGAAAAGTGCAAGCAAAGGCTACTTTTAAAAACACATAGGCTAAAAATAGCTACAGCAAAGTACCAGTAAGTACTCAAAATGAAATTGATCATACGTTAGTCAAATCCTCTGAGTTGAAACAGAAGAATTAAAACAGTGAGATCATACTGTCTAATCAGCCATTCACTGAAGGATGATTTGGTCCCTTCCCAATTTTGCTGACAGTTCCCTTTGAACATAATGCAATGAAACTCTGCTTTATAAGCAAGTCCTATAACCAGCACTGTAGGACTATTGTATGGGTAGGCAAGATATTCTTGTCACAAGTTTGACTCTTTGATCTCAGTTCTTCTATTTGATGCAATGTGAATTTATTTAATTCTCTCCCACAAACAAGGTTTTAAAATTGCATTCAGTGTGTTTCTGTCTGAATTTGTGAACATTTCCACAAAACAGTGGCAGGAGGATCTTCTTAATTACTACTAAGAAATATTAAGAGGTACCAATTTTTGCTCTGATTTGGACTTCAACTTTATGTTGAGGGATGACCATTATATAGTTTGCACTCCCAATATATTTAGGACATGATGATCAGGATTGTGGGAAGATTTTGGGTTGATACTGAATGCATTCACATGACCACCACTGTATCAACATTTATGAAAACAAACACCCTATAACTCCAGGACTCAGTGGGAACACAGAACAAGAAATCCCCAGTGCTGGACTCTGATCCCAGTTTTCTATTCTTAAATGTGTAACATCTACCATCAGTGGTCACAAACCCTTAAATGCAAATTCTGTTTTGTTGCCTTCTCCATCTTCATAGAAAGTGAGTCAACTCATTGATATTGAATTTGTGACATGTTAATTTATAGGATGACTAATTCACTAAATGTTCTAAACATTCTGATTGATATTGTGCATTAGTAGGCCTGTCTGTGGATGCTTTCCTAGCATCAATCTCTCCTTGTCCTTAATTTACTTAGCCATCTCTAGTTTATTGTAGTTTCTACTCTTTCACTGGTACATTCCTTCACACACACACACACACACACACACACACACACACACACACACACAAATATCCTTCTTACAGCCTAAAGAACGAATTTGAGGTTCGGCAGCATGACAAAACACACATTCTAAAGTGTGGCCCATCCAAAAAATTTGGCCTCACTTTAGTTTTAGATGTTTGAAAACATTCATGGACAGCAGACTTACAGCAGAAGGTAAGCCTGGGGCAAAAAATTTTGTGGTCCATGCATGATTCTTCCATTTTATGTACTTTCCATGAACTCCGTTAAGACTCCTGCTGTGTTTCTTTATCCCCCTGCTTCAGCTTAGACTGGCCTGTTCGTGATGTCCTGTCTCCATCACCCCTGCTTTCCAATCCTGGTGTCTGCAATGGCTCTCTTACTAGTTCACCTTTAATTCCCACGCTGACCACCTTTTCTAAGGAGCTTCCTTGCCAGACAGGGCAGCCACTTTCGATCCTACAGCACATACAAGGCAATCCTTTGCTCGTGTCTTTGGCTTTCCGTTTCCCCATCCCTTTCCCCCAAATGTCTGCCCTGACTCCCAGGCAGTACAAAGTGAAACAATCACATCACACTGATATTTTTTTAAAAAAAGCTATATAATATTATTTAATTTTTAGATCAGCTAAGGGGGTGTTTGTGACAAAGTGTTCTAAGAACTTTGCAAAGGTCATATACATTATGTAAAGACAATTAAGAAAGCAAAACAATGGTGTGGCTTATCTAGGGGAAGGTTTTACCAGGAGTGGGTTCTGCGGGTTGTTTTTTCACCCATAAACATCTGCATACAATCACATATGCAACAACAACTGACATAGTTTTCTAAGTGTTGTTTCTGGCTATTAACATTTTTAAAATGTGTGTTTCTTGCTCTCACTTGATACAAAGAGAGAGGAGTTAATTAGCTCAGTGAGACTGACACGGGTAACAGACAAGGACAACTTGATTAGATATGACATTTGCTAGACAAAATTTCAAGGACCTCACAGTGTATATTCACTCTAAATGGTTCATCAAAGCAATGTAATTTTGAGAAGAACTCAAATGTATATATAATACTTATATAAATTTAAAAATTATATAGTTTGGGGACATATTTTATAAGATATAAAGTTATAAAATATATTTTATATAATTTAGATAACTAAATAATATATTCTACATAAATTTATATATTTATAATATGAAAATACACACATAATATAAATTTTATAAGTTTTACATAGTATATAAGTTTATATATATTATACATACGTTTATATTATATATAAAATTCATATGCATCTTCAAAAAGTCATAATGGTAATATTTAAAAAGGATGACAAACATTAATTCAGGCTGGCATCAGGCAATTCCTAAATAATCTAATTGTTCAATAGTTAGATACTCATGAATGATTTTTCTGTTCAATAACAAGAATCGTAATCATATCCAGATGATAGTGGTAAGAGAAGGTGTTTGTTGGCAAATGAAAGACCCAAGCCATAAGGTGCTTTGAAGAGAATTCAGTGAAGCTGTGCTCTGTGATCCTATAAAGACAGACCCACTTCAGAGTCCTGATGTACTAAAGGAGAATGAAGCACTGTGATGCAGATAAAATGATAAAATAACATTTCTGGTAATAAAGGATTTGCCCCCACCTTTCAGTATAGGATCACATTTCTTTGGGCAAATACAAAAGAAAAAAGATATTTCTTATTTTAGGGATTTCATGATCCATGAGTTCTGTTCATTACAGAAAAATCACAAAATGAAAATGTTTTCAGGCCTTGGTTTTCAACCCCAAATTTACTTCCCTTACCGCATAAACACACACATAGGCACCCAGGTAAAAATGACAAAAGCAAAAAAAAACAAAAAAGAAACTCACAGAAACCACATATCACCGGTATTTGAATGATGCAGTGGTTCTCACTGTCCAAAGGTGAACAGGAGTGAAACTCATAAACATGATTAGGAGAGCAGCAGTCCTTAGCACTCCAAAGAGCTATAATTCCACAAACACTGACTGAGCACCTGGTGTGTATAGGGATACAGAAAGGAAGGACCCACAACATCAATTACCAAAGTGACAGGCTCTTTTCAATTTTCCTTGAATAAGAAAAAATTAACTATACAGAATAAAGGGACATGGGAGGTAATTTCTTTAACAGGTTTTTGTTAGACAAAGGCTCTTGCAATTGAGAAGCCTGCAAGCTTCTCCAAAGAGATGGAAAAGTCTTAAGAGAATAGAAATGACCTCATCAGCAGGATTTAGGCACTGAGCCATCTAACGGCAGAAGGGTAGAATGGAACCACATCCAGACATCCTCCCAGATCTGACTGCATCTTGTCTAGGGTCTAAACGGCAAGTGCTCAGGAGGCACGCAAGGCAGCCACAGGCATTGGTGCTTTGTGAGAAGTATCATACAGCATATGCCACACTCAGTAAGGATGGTTTGTTCTGGGGAGTGAGCTTAGATGTATGGCCTCTTCTTCTTTGGTTAACTGTTACATTTTTTTGGCAGAATCCAAAAGATGCTACTGATGTTTATTTTGTGGGAGTCCAGTGCGCTGAATAAACAGAATCTTGTCCAAAGAAGGAAGACATCAAACTATGGTGAGATTGCCCAGCTGCTAAGCATTAAAAGTTATTAATTTAAAAAACAACTCAAAAGACATTTCCCCCAAACAATAAATATCTGTAGTTTAGTTAATTTTAAAAAGGTGTATGTCCATAGGGAAAGTCTGAAGTGAAATGCTATAGGGTTACTTGGTTTCACTGTCCTGATCAAAGAACAAGATGATTGATGCCTTTTCTTAGAAAACAACCCGATCGAGAAGAATTAGGTCAAATGATGCAACTGTCTCCTGTTGACTGTTTAAAGTCTAAGTATTGTGGAGGCCAAAAACACAAACACACACACACACACACCCCTGCACTACTTCTCTACTTTAAAATGATCAGCCATAGCTAAAAATGTGAAAATCAGAAAAATTGAATTTGATTTTTTGTTGCCAGTACCTGGTAGAAACATCGGATTTTTACTGATGTTTCATGTTTACTGTAATTGATTTTCACCCTGGATGCACTAAGCATTTACTGGTCTGGTGAGAACATTTAATGCCTTCTATTTAAGATCTAGCTCGAAGCTATTATCACACAGGTTGATTTGTGTTTAGCATATCAACTTTGTAAAACAAGTGTACAGGTAGCAAGGAGGCAACTGGTGTAAGACAGAAGGAAAGTTCAGCCTGTATGTGTCCTCATCTTACTTCAGGTGTGCCTTCTCCCAAAGAATCACTGTGATCATCCTAAAATAACTAGCCCTTTGGCATGAAAGAGAACCTTTGATATATGACCTGACGTTTTGGGATCATTAAGATTTTCTATATGCTCCACTATTAGTGGTAAGGAATAGCAGTTCAGATGTTGCTGCAAAGTTGAGTGGGAAGAGAAAGAATCTGCTATCTGTATTCTACTTGGCTTTGTGTACATGGCATCCCATGTTTCCTCGTATTGCTCTATGTAGCCTTCAGAGTTGGTGGTTCTGCTTCTGCCTGCTTAACAGGGTTAACACACGGCTGCCAATGTTTCAAAAAATACCAGTTCTTGTGATTCACTTGACATGGTCTTGGGAAAGTCTTTCCCTGCAGCATCTGGCCACCAGCTGGTATTCTCTTTGAGGTGTGGGAGGAATCAGATCTCAGAAAACATGGGGCTGATGGATCAAGTCTGATGGAAGTGTTTGAATTAGAGGCTACAGTTTGGGCTTTCTGTTCAGTCAAGGTCTCCACAAATATCTGAGTTAATTTTAGGCTTTAACCCTGAATCTCAGTCTTTGTCCTTCTCTCCTAATGCTGGGAGGAGGTGGGTGACCAAAAGGCAAGAACAACAGTGACTGTGACATGCAGATGGCTTGCTGACCAAGCAGTGGTGATGATGCATGGGGCTAGCAATGTGAAGTTGGCTTTGTGTGCCTCTTCTGGCACACACACCATCTTGACTCACAGACAAGCACATGGGGTGTGAATGCAGAACAAGTGAGAGGAGAAATGTTTTCAGACATGGGAATTCTCTTGGGGCCTCACTGGATGGTACCAATGCTATGGAATAGGGGACACAGGAAATCCGGGTAAGATGATTTCTTCTTGCTTTGGGAGCAATGCAGGAAGACAGACATTATGAAGCTGTAGGCTGTGCTGTGCTTACCGGGATCCCTAGGGCTTTAAGAATGTTCATCTTGCACATGGGACAGGTGCGATGGTCTAGAAGCCAGGGATCAACACAGGACTTGTGGAAAAGATGCCTGCAATGAGAATCACACATCTTAGAGGGGCGGTAACTTCAGACACAACTTCATCCACTATAGCCCAGTGACTAGACTGAAGTCACTCCATTATCACTGGCAGAGACAAAATTTGACGCTTCATCACCTAATGTTTGGGACAAAGTATTTCCCATTACACCCCGGGATTCTATGATCAGCATCTGCCTAGGTCCCAGGATTGCCTATATGATTTACAACCAGGTTCCCAAGTTTTAGAAAATATAGAGAATGTGGGAACAAAATTTTCTTCCTTTTTTTAAAAAAATAAAACATTTATTTATTTTATTGGAAAGGCATATCTACAAAGAGGAGGAGAGACAGAGAGGAAGATCTTCTGTCCATTGATTCTCTAAGTGGCTGTAACAGCCAGTTCTGAGCCCATCTGAAGTTAGGAGTGAACAGCTTCATTTTGGTGTCCCACACTGGTACAAGGTCCTAACGACTTGAGTCATCCTCTACTGCTTTCCCAGGGCACAAGCAGAAAGCTACATGGGAAGTGGAGCATCCAGGACACAAAACGGTGCCCATATGGGATTGTGGTGCATGTAAAGTGAAGATTTAGCCATTGAGCCATTGTGCTGGGTTTGACAAAATTTTTTTTTTTTTTTAAAGAAAGATCATTTAATCAAAAAAATGCGAGTGAGAAAACTAAAAAAGACCTTGCAGGACGACTTACTAAATGTTACTTTAAAAAAAAAAACCCTCACATTTCTTTTCCCAGAGTCACAGGATAACTGCTAAGTGAAGACTTATTTCATTAATATTTGGGATCTAACACAAAAAGGCAGAAGAGCATTTAATAACAGAAATGATATTTTAAGTTGTTATGTCAAGTCAGAAGCCAGAGTGCAAGGCTCTGTGGTTTTTCTGTGGGCAACTGTGCTGCCCATGCAGCTTTTGTGCTCAGCAGCCTTGCCATGGGGTGAGGAGTAGGGCAAGGCGGGGCAGACACTTAGGAAGGGCAGAAGGTCTCCCTGACTGAATGTTCCTTCCATATGGCTTGCAGATGCCCTCTAAGAAGCTGCTTGAGGCAAAAACTTTTCTTCCCATGAACAACCCTGCAGACTACTCTTCGTACCTGCTTGGGGCACGAAGAGAGAGAACACTAGAATGTGGATGTCAGGAGGGCTTCCGTAGGACTTTCCTAGGAAAGCAAGAACTGTGCTCAAAACTGAGAATGACTATGATGATGATACGGCTCCTTCCCTTGGGGAAGCAGGAGAGGTAGCTACTGGAAAAATAATGCATTAAACTAGACAGTGAAGACCATGCAATACCACATTACATGATCAGGGAGTTTGGGGGTATGCATACGCTTATCTGGGAGATTCATCCTAGCTCAAGTGTTCAGGGGAGGTGTTGCTGAAATGGTAACACTGAGTTACATGAAAATTGCCCACATGACAGGGAAGGAGAAAAGAATAGTATTTGAGGCAGAATGCAATAAAGTGCTGAGCTAGCCACTGGAAGGTGGCTGACAACAGAGGAATGGCATTTGAGAGATGCAGATATTTGCACCCAAGTTGGGTGAAGCCGTTCCTTGCATCCTGAAAATGGAACACTGATTCCTTGCGCAGAAGCTCTACACTTAGGAGACAGGTTCCTAAATCTGAGCCTGCTCATCAATTTCTGTTCTCCTGGGAAAACACCAAACCTTCTGGTGCCTGTGACATTCCCGTGAGGCAGCCCTGTGCTATGCCTCCTACCCATGTGCTGGAAGGAGGCTGACAGTAGAGCCAATCCTCAGCTTTTAATACTTCAACAAATTGCTTCATATTGCCATACCTTAGTTGCCTCATGTGAAAGAGGGACTTAGCTCTACTCCAGCCCTTCCAAACTCCCAATGCACAATGATTGGCAATGATCCTTTGACCCTCCTATGGCTTTTCTCTGCATATTCTGGTCATACTGCATTGCTATTTTCTAAAAATGGTTTATTTTACTTACTTTAATGGAGAGAGATGGAGAGAAACAGTCAGAAAAGGAGCAGGAAGACAGATCTTCCATCTGCTAGTTTACTCTTCAAGTGCCTGGGCTGGACCCAGGAACTGGTAACTCTAAAAACTCACTCAGAGATCTCCCACATGGTGGGCAGGGGCCCAGTTACTTGAGCTATCATCTGCTCTGCTGCCTCCAAGAGTACACATCAATAGAAGGTAGAATCAGGAATGGAGCTTGGATTTGAACCTAGGAACTCTGATAAAGGCTGTGAGCCTCCCAAATGGGAAGGTAACCAATATGTTGAATGCCTGTCCTGTGCTGGTTCTTGTACTGATTATTCTCCATGATCGGAAGTGCCTTTCCTTGCAAATCTCTTCAGAAGTTTCCTTGAGAAGAGATTTTTTTCCCTCTGGACTAAGCTATCAGTTCTTGACTACAAGTTTTCAGCTTGCTCTACAGATTTCAGATGTGCAATTCCTTAAAAATTCCAATGTATATCTGTTTATATTTCTATATCTCTACTATTACTTTTTTAATCTTTGAAGAGCTCAATGGATGTATCCTTCAATTAATAACCCTAGCTTGGTGGTTTCACTTGTGCCTCCCAAATATTTAGCATCCAGTTGATGCTAGAAATATTCATTGCCTGAGTGGGTACGATACTCATCCTAGGCCCAGCATTCCTCCTGTCTCAACCTGGTCACCAAGTTTCATTCACCCACTCTTCCTAAATATCTGTCACATTCATTGTTTTTCATTTCTCAACGTGGCCTCCTCATTCATCTCATTATGTGTTTCTCTATATTACTGCAATAGCATCTAAATTATTCTCCATGCTGCCAGTCTTTTCCTGTTCTCTTCTTCCCACTCATTGTTGCCAGAATTATCTTCTCAAAATATAGCACTGGTTACATCACTGCCTTGTTGCATTCTGTTCTGCTTTCAGAACTGGGTACAATGATGAACAAGACAAGATCTTTCCCACTAACAGAGTATTGTACCATTCCAAACTTCTCTGTAAAGGCTACTGACAGGCCACTGCTTTGTGGGTTTTCAATCTTGGGCTAGTTACTGTTAACTCTCTGAGTTCCTCATCAGTGCAATTTTATTTGATAGGTATGGGATTTGCAAGTGAGAGAGTGCGATGCATGTGTGTGTGTGTTATGAAGGAGAGAGAACATCTAACATGAAGCCTGAAGTACAGGTCCTGAAGTAGGGACGTGGCACAGCAGTTAGGTTGCTGCTTGGTACAGGTACCTCCCCTAACAGAGTGCCTAGTTCAAGTCATGGATTCTCTATTTCCTTTTGCCTTCCTGCTAAGCACATCCTGGGAGGCAACAGAGGACAACTGAAATGCTCAAGTCCCTTTAACCTCATGGATGATCCAGATTGAGTTCCAGATTCCTGATTTCGATTTGTCCCAGGCCTAGCTGTTGCAGTTATTTGAGGAATGAATCAATGGATAAAAAAGTTCTTTGTGTCTCTTTCAAGCAAAGTGAAAATAAAAATAAATAAATAAATCATAATTTCTGGTAGTCCTGCATTCGAATTATTGAAACTTAGCTTTAAATACTGTGGGACTATTATGATTTTTACTGTTTAGTGTAAATGTTTCTAATGTGAGAAGTAATTTAAATTTTTTTTTAATCAAAGGGAGAACTAAGGGCAAAAAAGAAATAGTACCCAAAATGATACATAGGATTGTATCATTCTAAAAAACAATATTTATTTTATCTTTTTGTTGGAAAGGCAGATATACAGAGAGGAGAGACAGACAGGTCTTCTATGCACTGGTTTACTCCCCAAGTGGCCACATCTGTTGGAACTGAGCCAATCTGAAGCCAGGATCCAGGAGTTTCTTTCAGGTCTCCCAGATAAGTGCAGGGTTCCCAGGCTTTGAGCCATTCTTGACTGCTTCCTAGGTCACAAGCATGGAGCTGGAAAGGAAGCAGCACTGTCAGGATATAAACCAGTGCCCACATGGAATCCTGGAGGATATAAGGTGAGGATTTAGCCACTAGGTTGCCATGCCAGTCCCTGTCTTGCTTATTTTCAACACTCTCCACTCTTCATTTGTGTGATCTGCAGTAAAGGACTGCTCTTCCCATGTTTTAACAAATGCTGCATGTTCGATTGCATACACTGGAACAACAAGAGACTCTAACTTTTCAAAGTTCTGGAAAATTGAAAAGGCAATAGTGCGTGATCAAAACAGTTGCCTTTCCTCATTCACCCAACAGTAGCAAATATTTTAGAAAGAATTCAAACATTTGCCGAAAGAGGACGCAGACCATTGCATAACAATGCGGAGATGATTATGAATCATCAGTTCTCACATTTTTTTTAGCAGTGATGATAAATCAAGTTAATTTGTACTGCTTCCTATGTTCTGTTATTCTTTCAGCTACACATGTGATTCTCTATGTGATTAAATGGCATGTTGCTGTCCACCTGGAGAGGGTAGGGAGTGTTCTGTTCTTCCAGGTCATGTATGCAGTGCCAGTCACTTGGCAAATGAGGTTGGGATCCTGCAGTCTGACGCCAGTGCTAGCCATTTCCTTCTCTTGAGTGAAGCACTTTTTAAAGTGTGTGAGTCATCCAGGTAACTAAGACTCACATACTCCAAGATAATTAACTACTTTAAAATATATTCCATCTTTCCAGCAACCAGAATGCTCCTTCAAATCCTCTGAAATCTTATCTGCAAAGCCGTCATTTAGGCAAGAGGGAGATCTGAATTAATAGACACTAATGACAACCTCTGCCAATTGTGGAATGCCTATTATGTTCCAGGCATGTTACATGCATAATGTATGTACGATAGTTCTATGAGACAGGCATTCCAATTCCCATTTTATTGTGCAGAAAAGTTGAAGCTTATTTAAGTAGAATACTCAAACAACTGATAAACTGCAAGACCTGGACCTCACCTACAACAAATGCAGTATCAGTATTTTTAACTCAACTTTACAAACCTCCTGTTTCTCTTCCCTAGTCTCAGAGCAATGGGGATAGATGGAAATATTATATTTTATACT